AAGGTTTGAGGAGTAAACAGTCATTAACACATGAGCTCAATTACCCTTTCTTTGACCACACATTTCTTTCTGCTATCTTCCAGGACTTTCTTAAGGTACTTGGCCTGTTGGTTTTCAGTTTCTTGATGCTACTATAGACCTATTAGTTTCCCTCTTTCACATGTTTTCTGGATTTCATTGGGAGTTTTCAGCATGAATGACAGTATGTCCTTTTCGCCCTCTTGATCTAGGCCTTTTCCTGATTAGATCAATGTTTGCTTCCAAATATTAATCCTACCTTTGGGGATAGAAGTAGATGGTTCCTATTATTCAGATAAACATTGCTGTAACATGGCAAAAATTAGTAGGTATCTTGTCTCCCAGCCTCTCTACTTCTTACTCATCACTCTCCACCCCTGTAAGGCAGACACCTCTCAGATGGTCCTTTAGAAAGGCTTCACCTCTGCTTTTCAAACTTTAATGGGCATAAGTAGCACTAGAGGGAGTCAGTTATAAATGTAGAATCCCAGACTCCACCTCCAGAAAATGAAGAACATACTCTGGAATCTAAATTTTAAAGAGGGCCCACGTCAAATCTGGGGCAATGCCAGCCTCAAATGACTAATGCAGGGATGGGAAAGGTCTGAAAGTATCACCCTAAGAATATTTAATAATCACAAAGAGGAAAAGATACCTTTACCACGAAGAGATTTGGTGGTCACCATCTTGACTAAGGGGTTACACTTAGCATAATTACTAATGTGACAAAGTGACTGATGTAATGCACTGAAATGGACACTCTATCACTTAATATTTTCATCAAAAATCTGAACACAGATTTCTTTTTTTAGAAAATCAGATAAGGTCCCCATGCATTTTGATGTCATAGTGATTTTAAACACAATGGCTTATTTAATGGGCATGATTGATACTTAGAAACTTTCAGCTTCCTTCTAACATAGACTCTCCTATGTTCTGGAAACAACCAGGGAAGGCTCTTACGTATTTCTCTTGGAATCTTACATCCTCCCTCTACAAATTTCACCAGCCAGGACTCTGTTGCATGAAAAGAATGAGCATTGTCTCTTTTTATTACTTATATCTCTGTGAAGTATGGCTTTTGCCAAGGTCATTTTTATTGCTTTATTGGATTCTTCGATATAATCTGTCAGAAATATTCCTTGCAAATATCTTTTCACAGTGTGTGGCTTGCCTTTTAAAACAAAAGTTTTGTTGGGAAGTAATTCACATACTATAAGATTCACCCATTTAAAGTGTACTTTAAATTTGCTTATTTTGGAGTTTTCATAAAAGTGGAATTATACAATATACAGTCTCCTGTAATGGCTTTTTTCACTTAGCATAATGTTTTCAAGTTTCATCCCTGTTACTCCATGGATGGTTAACTTTGTTATGCTATGTGTTGTATATGTTTTGGATTTTGATTTGGTCAAATATATCAGTTTTTCTTAAGATTTCTGATTTTTCTATCTTATTTTAAGAAATACTTCTCTTTCTTTGAGTTATAAAGATATTTTCTAATAATTTCAAGTTTTTGTTTTTTCATATTTAAATTATCTGCAGTTTATTTGGTACACTATGTCACACAGAGATTTAATTCTCTTCCACGTGGTTAGTCAATTGTTCAGCACTACTTACTGAATATTCCGCCAATCCCTCCATGTTTTGTAATGCCATGTTTATTATATAACAAGGTCTCATATATGTGTAGGTCTGTTTTCCTCTCCCTGTGCCGTTATGATAGCTTTATAACTAATCTTCATTACTAATAGCTTTATAATAAAATCTGCTATTCCCTCTCCTTTTCCAGAACCAAATTTGCTATTAATGACTGTAGGGATCATTTTTTTAAGTTCCATTAAAATAGCCTGTTACAATTTTGTTGGAAATTGCATTGAATTCATAGAGTAATTTGGGAAGAATCAACACTTTAACTTTCATTTAAATAAACATGAGATATATTTTTTCTTATTCTACCAATTTTACTTCATAGTCCACCCTTTCCCCGTGCTCAGGAGTAATCCCTGAGGTAAGAATTGGAGTGCAAGAACCTTATTTGCGAGGTAATCCCAGGAAAAACCAGCAGGGGAGTGGAGAAGAGATTCTGGCAATGGAAAGCAGCCCAAGAAGTGCATATTCTCAAACAAATTATTGCTATCGGCAATTGAAGCTTAATTCTACTGAAGTATCCTGAGAAATTCTGCAGAACGGGTGCCTCAGAGTCATCCCACCTGAGGAGTGAGAAGCTGGGGTATTTATACAGCTCTCTTTGGCCACGGATTGAGGGCTTCTGGCAATTATTAATTCCCCAGCTCCTCTAGCCCGCTGACATGGAAGGTGGGCCAGCATGCCTGGAAATGGTAAGTACCAAGGAGCACCAACAATTTATGCTAAACTACCAAAGGATCTTTTGAAAACTCACATGTATGTAAGCATGTCTCTCTCCTGTCTAACGTCTTCTACTATAGAGAAATCCAAAATTGTTGGCATGGCCTACAGGTTTCTCCACATCAGTTACCAGCTCCTTTCTTGCTTCACCCTGCTGCTACCTCCTTTCCCAGGCAATTTAATCTCTGGCGATGTTGAACCACTGTCCATCTGTTCCCTTAGAAGCAGCTCGATTCTGTCAAACCCTAACCTCTTTGCATTTGTTGTTTTCTCTGCCACTATTGCCCTTCCCCTAGTCTTTTCCTAGAGAACCCCTTCTAAAAAACAGAGTGGTTAGAAACATGGGCATTGGCAAAAGAGCTAGAATCAAAACTCAGTTCTAATGTAGCCAGCATTTGCTTTGCTTAGTAGGAAATGCAAGATGACAGGATATAGAGGTGAGTGTAAAGTTCAATAGCCCTGAGGATCTTTGAGAGAAAATGATGGAACACTAGGGAAAAATAAAAGAGGTTTAAGGGGGGCTGAGGGAATTTGCTATCTAAGCTGTGTTTTTCTTTATTGTTTCTCCATGGAAAAAATTATTTGTCAACAGAAAAAACCTCCTCCAATACTTATTTGGGCAAGTTACTTAACCTTTCTGAAATTCAGGTTCCTTATTTATATAATGTAAATATACTTACTCTTACCTTACATTACTACTGTGAGGATATATTAGTTATCTACTGCTGCATAGCACATTATCTCCAAATGTGGTGAGTTGTAACAACAAAAAAATATTTATTATCTTAAGCAGTTTCTGTGATTTCAGGGGCAGCATTGCTGATTGATTCTAGCACAGAGTCTCTCCATGAGGCTGCAGTCAAGATGTCAGCTGGGGCTCTAGTCATCTGAAGGTTTGACTGGGGCTGAAAGATTGGCTTCCAAGATGACAGTCACATGCCTGGCAAGTTGGTGCTGGTTTTAGACAGGAGACCTCAGTCTCACATCATCTAGGTCTTTTAATAGAACTACTTGAGTGTCTCCATAGAACAGCAGCTGCCTTTCTCTAGAGCAGGTAACCCAAGGAAGATGCTGCATGTGTCTTTTGTGACCAAGCTTTGGAAGTCACACATTGTGATTCTTCTGTACTCTATTGGTCACAGGCCAAAAATGACTGGAGGGAGATTATACAAAAGTATGAATAGAGGAGGTGAGGATCACTGGGGGCCAATATGGAGTTTAGCTACCACAAAGACATGAAACGTGCTTGGAACATAGTGTGTTTTCAAATAATAGCATTTTATTATCACTCATTTTCTGGACCCTCTGCACAAACATTATCCTTGAGAAGCCTTCCAGACCACCATAGTCAGTTATGAAATAGTTTGGCAAAAAAGTAAAAATTGAATCTGTTCAAACTTTTGTTATTCTTCAAGATAATGATTTGATATATGAAGAACTCATACAGCTCAACATCAAAAAAAACAATCTGATTAAAAAATGGGCAGAAGACAGAGATGGCCAAGACATGAAGAGATGCTCAGTATCACTAATCAGCAGTGAAATGCAAATCAAAACCATAATATTACCTCGCACCTGTCAGAATGGTTATTATCAAATAATCAACAAACAACAAGCATTGGTGAGGATGTAAAGAAAAAGGAACCGTCATGCATTGCTGGTGGGACTGCAAATAGGTACAGCCACTATGGAAAACAGTACAGAGGTTTCTCAAAAAATTAAAAATAGAACTACCATATGACCCAGTAATTCCACTTCTGTATTTATTCAAAGAATTCCCAAACATTAATTTGAAAAGATATATGCACCTCTACATTCATTGCAGCGTTATTTTTCAATAGCCAAGATATGGAAGCAAACTAAGTGTCCATTAATTGACAAACGGATAAAGAAGATGTGGTACATATATCCAATGGAATGTTATGCAGCCACTTAAAAAAATGACATCTTGCCATTTACAACAATATGTATGTTGTAATCTTGCCATTTACAACAGTATGGGTCCCCTAGAGGGCATTATGCTAAGTGAAATAAGTCAGAGAAGGACAAGTGTCATATAATTTCACTTATATGTGAAAACTAAAAAAGATAAAACAAAAAACTCATAGATACAGAGAAAAAATATTGAGGTTCACTAGATGGGAGGGGGTTTGGGGACTGGCTGAAAAAGGTAAAAAATATTAAGAAGTACAAATTGCCGGTTATAAAAATAGTCATGGGGATGTAAAGTACAGCATAGGGAATATAATCAGTAATATTGTAATAACTATGTATAATGCCAGGCAGGTACTAGTCAGGGGAGAATCACTTCATAAGGTATATAAACGTCTAATCACTATGTTGTACACCCGAAACTAATATAATGTTGTATGTCAACTCTAATTGAAAAATAAATTTTTTAAAAAGATCATGATATAAATCATTGAGGGGAGGGCAATTGTTATCATTAGGTTCTCTTAGCTGGTCCAGGCCTTCCTACCTTGCCTGTTCCTGCTGTGGAAAAATCCCCAAAGCTCGAAAAATCAGACCGGCGAAAAACCAAGCAGTTCCGAAAAACCAAGCAGTTCAGGGTCAAGAGAAGGAAAAGTCAAAATTTATTACATGCAGTTCACTCAGAGAGAAGGAGAATTCAAAATTTATTACATGCGGTCCCAGACAGCTAGTGCTCTGAAGATCTAGGCAGGTTCTCAGTGGAAACATCTCTTTATATAGGAAAAGCTTTACACAAGCTGATTGGTCAGCTTGAACATAAACTGTTACATACAGCAGGATTTGCCATGCAGATTTCAAGTAATAACAGACAGAAGGGCCAGAGTTGCTATGGGCAACCAATAAACACAGATTGTTACAGGGAGGGAGAGCTGCGGGAGTACACAGTTACATTTATAAGTCCAGCATAGTGCAAGGGAGCTCTTGCATGCAATAAGCAAGCGTAATTACAAAAGCAGAAAGCCAACTAGTTTTTAATGAAATTCCCCGTATTTCTTCATCATTCCCCTCTTTTGATGCCCATTTAAATTCTTTTAGAGCATCGCCTTTCTGATTTCCTTCTTGATTTCCCTGGACTAGAGACTTATAATTGATTACATAAAGGTCTTTACTGCAGTTTTTCTTTTTCCTATGGCCTTAAACATTTGTATATAAAGGATCTTCTGACTCTTGCTGTCTTATATTTTACTCCTGATAAAGACAGCCTGTTCCTTAAACTTATTTAACAGGCATGTTTTTCTCAAATTCTTCTAGGCTGTGATCTGTATTTTCTCCCTTTTTATCTTCTGTATATACCTTTCTGAGGGAGTTTTCCCCACCTTATTTACATGCTTTCCTATACCTAGGTTCCCATTCAGGTGCCACTTGCTGTATCCATCAAGTGGTAAATCCTGTCATGTCCAGTGCAGCTCTGTAAAATATACCCTTACTATCTCTAAGTTAGTGCATCGCCTCCGAAAGTAAAGAACCTTTAAAGAAGGTATCGGAGTCTTATTCGTGCTATACTTGTATGGGCATATGTGTCAGTTCTATTATCTGTTCAGCAAGGTCCCTAACTGCCTGGCCCTAGTCATCTACCTATATATGATAGTTAATGAGACTGACGTTCTTATATACGCCTCCCTCTGCTGCTAACAAATACTCTAGTGCCAATCTGTTCTGGTAGGTGACATTTCTCATCTGAGTCTGTTGATGTGCAAGGAGGGTCAAGGCTTTCCTGCTTTCATCCTAAAACTGCTTGCAATTGGATGCGAATGGGGGTATGGTTCTTTAATACCTATCCTCTGCCTAAGTGGCAGGCCCACAGTATTGGATTATTCGTTCTGGGGGCCACTTATTATCTCCTATCTGGTGGTATTTAACTTGCCTCACCACTTAAATTTCTATCTTGCCTTGTGGCACTATTTCCAGAGCACAAACTTCCTGGCTTAATTTGTTACCTTTCCATCTTTTACTTCTCTGAGCCTGTGATTACATTTGGCCTTTGACGCTTTTTCAGACTACTTCAATTTATTATATTTCCCCTATTTGAATTTCTCTTGTTGCCTATTGTAAGAGTTGTGGGACCAGGTGATTAAGCTGTTCCTCTGTTTTCAGAGTTAAGAGGATAAGGAAGATTTTATCATGCCATTTACATAATTTTCCTTTTTAATTCCTGGGGAGGCAGATATAGGCTATGCTCCTACAAATCTAGTAAAACCTATGTGGGGCTGTTCAGTCTTGGACCCTGCCTAGGTTCTGCCAGACACTAATTAGCTCTGAAAATCTAGCTAATGCATTTCTTACTTTTCTCTTTTACCTTTACCTTTTACATGCATGCTTCATGTAAGTTTTCGACTAACCTTGTGAGTTCTTTCTACCTCTAGCCCAGCAGTATTGTTCTGTATAATATGTCTTAAAATCTACAGATCACCACTATGTGGGACTGTTATTTCTGGCATTACCTAGGTAGGAACCAGTTTTGTAGTTTCCCTAGGCTACCTGCTCCTTACTAGAGCTCTCCCATATACATAGCAGGAAGAGATGTTTAGGGAGTGAGCTATTCCTTTGACTATTCTAAGAAACAAGTTTTTGTTTGGTTGCAACCCTGGGAGCTGGGGCCTGGTTATTTCTTTGAAAAAGGACTTATAAACCTAGTAAACTTGAGTTGTACCCTCTAATAGTAGACCTCTCCTGAGAATACAAATTCGAATATAGAGATCTGGTCCTGTCCCATCGATACCAAGTGTTAACTCTTCCCCAAAACTCCAACGAGGATTATAGAGGTCAGTTATTCTTTACTGAGTTGCACATATGTTTGGTGCAATTTGATAAGGCTACTCCTTTTCCTAGATACTCCCCTTTCTTATTAGTGTTGCCCTTCTCCTAAGTAGCCCATAAAATACATGACCACCAATAGGCACTACTTGTTCCCCAAGAAGTGCATGGGGACATATATACTTCTCTTTTGTCCTGTAGCTTTATTCCCAGATGAGGGATCCACATGATCTCCCTTCCTGTCCTTGGCTCTGGCTTATAGTAGCACAAGCATCAAATCTTAGGGTTATCTAAATCTGTTTACAAAACGAGGTGCTAGTAGATTTCAATAATATTATTGAAATCTATTTTAATATACTCATTCCTTTCCTATATCCCCCTCTTACACTCTCAAAACTTTATGAATGTGCCTTACAATCTGAAGTTTGGCCAACACTTCAAAAGATTGACTGTAAATTTTTATTTCTATTTACAGACTATTCAATACCTTATTCCTGTATCTCCTTAATTGTTTCTTCCTTATATTTGCCCTTTTCCTTTCCTACTTGGCAAGGTTTGGCTTTGTGTCTAAGGATCCTTTCGTGGTCTATGTCCAGCTTTAGTCTAGTAATAACTACCTTGCTGGGGTGAATGCTCACATGAACAGTTATGTTATTAGCCTTCTCCTGCTGCACTCGTTCAATGTAGATGACATATTTCTTCCTATAAACTCTGACCACCTTGCTAATTTGCTGCCCTGAACTTCATCACCTTTTCCAATGGGCAGGGATCGAACATTGTACTTCTATCTCAGCTCTTTGGAAAAAGGAAAAGACATCATTGAGCTGCACTGTGATTTAATTAAAACTCTAGAAGTTACATATTTTATCAAGTAGATGAATCAAGAATTGCCCTTACATTTTACCCTATTCTGGGGTAATATGGTCTTGCCTGTCTATCCTCCCGTGTTCCCTCAAGGCTTCCTTTATTTCAGAACTGTTTTAGTGAAGGAGGTTCATCTGAGTTGTAACATACATAGGGGCTGATTACCTATTGAGTCTAGTTATAGGTACAGGTCCCTTTTTGAGGTCTCTGACATTTATAGTAGCTATAGAAAATTCTGACCCCCTCCTCTAGTGACATGGATATACAACTTACAGTTTTTGCTCTAATTTCTCTCCTTCCCCAGTGTCTAATTATAAGAAGTCCTACGATGAAATTCCTCAGGCTTCTGCCGTGCGTAGACCAGCCAGCTTCCGGCTTGTGGCTGGAGCAGGGCATGTTGTCTTTACAGAGCCATTGAAATCCGTCTGCACTGTCTACAAAGGGTGTTTTCTGCAGGAGTCAACTGGGATGAATATCTGGACAGTTCAAATGGCTGATCCTTATGCTTAACCACACTGACAAACCAGGCAAGACTGAGAGAATCTAATTGAATTAGTAGTATTTTAGTTGATTTTACAGACAAATGTACTTGAACTGGATACAGCAGTATATAATTCAATGACGACTACCTTATAAAATGTCATATTAGGCTAAACCCTTTATAAAATTCGACAATCTTATATTCTAATAACATCTTCTATGTTGGACCAATGAACACTTTGGCTAAACCAAATTATAAAACACATTTTAGCAGATATTTCACACAGTATTTTCAATCCTGACCCAAGGTTGCTTTAATTTAGGGTAATACACTGTATTAAAATTTATAGTACTCCTTCTTGGTTCCAATCTTTTACAGAATAGGATTACTTGTATAGCTTGGTCGGAACAGCTTCTCTTTCCAATCTTTAATCTATACTTTTTCTTCTGGCTGACAGGGGTGTACCTAATTCCTCAAGAGGGTAGAGGCTCTTCCTAAAGTTTCTCTAGTGATGTGGCAGGGGATTATTCCTAAGACCTGAAGATGGTGGGGCATTTTCAAGGTTTACTATTAATCTAGGACGTTCTTTCTCCTAACTTCCTTACCATTGGAGGTTTTTGCGGGCCCCTTCAAATATAGAATGACCTTGGTATCTTTACAGGTAGACCTAGAAACCTCCTTTTCACTAATTTTCCTGCCTAATTATTTTCTATAAGCCATGAACCCCTTGTTATTACTCATATGGATGTTGAGGGACTGGAGGTCTCTTCTTCTGTATCTGCTGCCTGCTGAGAATGGCTGTAGTTCCTGCCTACTGGGGTTTCATGGAGCTCTTTTCCTTTTTCTACCCTTAATTAGGGCAGGGTCTCAGGTCTCCTGATAAAACTAGCTATGGTGGTTCCGTGGGTCCGGTACATGCATTTAACTTTCCCTAAACTTTGCAGCCTTTTAGCCATGTGGAGCTTCTTTTCCCTTAGCCATTTATAACTCCCCCATTTGGTGAAAGGCCCTAAGTATGTGCAAGGTAACAAAGGCATACCTTGAGCTTTGTTGACGTTGGCCCGTCTCCCTTCAGCCTGTTGTAATACCTGGATGAGGGCCCATAGTTCAGTCCATTGTGGTGACCAGCTCTGTAGCAGAACCTTAACTCTGATTACCTCACCAGCAGCTGTTATTGCGTAGCCGGCTTCCTGCTGTCCTGTATGAATGAAGCTGCTCCCATGGAATATCTACTGTAAAAGTCAATGATTGGCCCCCTACTTCTATTGTAACTATAAGTTAATTGCTGAGGGTCTAGGAACAGGGAGCCCAATCATTCCTAGACTGACTGTTCTTCGGCCTGGTCGATGAGCTTTTTGGATGACTGGCTAAGGCTGGTACTTTCCTTTACAAGCTTGGTTGAATTTTTCTTGTCTCTCATGGTGAGGGCACTCATTCTTCCAATGTCCAGTCTCCTTACAGTAGGCACATTGGTCACGGCGAGGTGGAGGTCTCCTTCTGGTCTCTCTTTTTCGGAGGGGAGCAATAGTCTATTGTTCTGGACCTGAGTTTCCTGTTGCAGCTATTAACAAGAACACATTTATCCCTTTGGCTTTCTGGTCGCTGTTCTCAAATACTTTGTTTGTGACCTTCGGTAGCTGGGTGTTGATCTCAGCAAAGCACTCTAATTATCAAAGTTTGCGGCGGATGTCGGTGGAGGATTGGGCCACAAATGCTGCGTTAACCATATACTGGTTTTCTCGTGCTTCAGGGTCAAAAGGGGTATATACCCAATATGCCTTGCATAATCTCTCATAGAACTTATGGGCGACTCCTCTGGTCTCTGGTGTACCTACGCCATTCTTGACATGTCTGTTGGCTTCCCAGCTCTAGCCTTTGCCTTTAATTTGGACTTTTCATGTATTCTATGTGATGGGGGTTTTATAAGCTCTCTAACAAAAGGCTTTTCTATTATCACTAGGAACTCATCCTTCTGAAAGGGCAGGTCTTCACCATCATTCCCAGGAAAATAACAGAGAGTTTGTACATATTCTGATATGCTTAGATACTTAGCTGCAGGCTCCATCAGGGTGGTGGTGTTCAGGTAGTGAGTTTTATAAAACTCTAGCAGGGCTGGCAAGCTATCGAACTCCAGGTCCCTGATCTTAAATAAGTGTTTGGATAGCGAGTTGATAAGGTGTGGGAAACTCATGTATTTTCAGATATGGACAGCACATAGTCCCTAGAGAAGGCAGAGGAATCATGGACTAGGAACATGCTGTGGAGCTGGCCCTGGAGCCAGGCCTGCACCTCCTCGCAAGACACTTGCCCATATACCAGGCGGAGTGATTTGAGGAGTCGAACTTAAACGAGATGGAGGGCATAGTGTCAGTCTGGGGCTCTGGGACGATAAGGGGTGGCAAAGGTGATGATGGTGGAAGCCTGTCCGGCAATTGATAGTAAAGTGGCCTCGTGGGGGTTGACAGAGCTACTGAGGTGTACGACTGTTGGAAGTTAGTTTCCTCTTTGAGGTCCCCTTGTTGGATTAATTTTGCTGACACCTTGTCCTTATGCCTAACCAATCGGGCCACAAATTCCTTATTCTGTCCCTGCCTATTTGCATTGAACCGAACCCAAGGGAGCACCAGCAGCTGTCTGCAACGACGTCTCTATGTATGGAACTTGGTCTAGATATCCTGGGGTCCCTGTCACTACTCAATATACTGCTCTCACTGTGGGGAGGTCTAGGGTCCTTTCCAGGGGCTAACCTACGCCTAAAGCGGGCCATTCGAGCTCACAAAGAATACGAAGGCTTCCTGAGGCCAGCGTGACCCTGTACCCCTCTTAGAAACCTTCTTTAAAGTTTTCCAACATACAGTCTAAGACAGTTGACTTAGAGGAATTTTTCTCCATATTTGCAAGAAACTTCCTTTGAAAATTAGGCACAGAGGCTGATGTCAGTATACCCTCTGAAGTTCCAGAAACCTGGTTAAAGCAACACAAAACACCAAAATTAATTTGTCAACATACAGAATTCTAGTTTTCTATTCAGAAAACCTTTTCATAGCAGACCAATAATCTTAGCACAATTCCAATTTTACATCGGCTTACTTTCGACACTTAAATTTCCAACCTTATTTAGCTTAATTACGTAAAATTTCTCAAGATTTCTTCCAATAGCCTTCTTTTACACTTTTCCTCAGAAAATCTCTCTCAAAGTTTCCCTTCACAAACCTTCCACTACTTCCACGAACCTTCTTTTACATATTTTTTACTCCTTCAGTTTGCCTCTTTTCACTCCTTCAGCAACCACCTCTGAGACAAATATTTTTCTTTTACCTTCAATCTAAGTTTCCATTCTTTATACCTTTTGTTACTAAAAACACTTTCCTTTCTGCTTACTCAAGCCTTCTTCGACATGCCTCATTCCTTCATAAAGATCTGAGGTACCTCCCGCGCCTCCCATGACAGACAACTATCATGCCACAAGAAGGATGGGAAGGATCAGGAAATTGGACGGGACGCCACTCACTTGAATTTAAGGCATCTGTTAGCATTGGTGGGTCGGTGTAAACCCATGACCCACCTGGTGTAGACTCCTCATGGAAATCCAATGGGGCCACCGTAAGCCATATGAGGATCACCACGGAACCGTAGATCAGAGCTCAGCTCTTGCTTCTTAGTAAGCTACGTCTTAGTCAGTCAACACTCACTCTCTTTCGCACACCTCCCACCATTCCTTAATGTGTGTGCTAGTGAGCAAGGAGCCGCTTCTCCTTAATTCATGGAGGGTGACTGGTTGCCCTCTGGAGGGTAATAGAACTCCTTTTACTTAGTGTTGACCCACTTATTCCACCCTGCAATGGTGACGCAAAGACAAACAAGGGTGGGGAGCCCCTCCAAAGAGGAGACCGTTCAGGTACTCATCTGGCTGTGTCCCCTCTCGGGGAGCTTAGGTGATGCTTAGCTATAGCTTTGTGACTCACGATCAGACACTAGTCTGATGCTGCCATAGGCCATGTGCCATTCACCACGGACCCGCAGAATGAGCCCAAATGAACCCCATGGCTTTTAGGGGACCTTAAGGGTGCCCAGCCGTGGGGCTACAAACTCGTACCTTACCAGCAGGTCGGTCAAGACACTCATTCACTCACAATCACACATCGGGCTAAAGCAGCGCTCCTCCCCCACCAGAATAACGCAGGTTTTACTCTTGGCTAGTGAGTCTGTGCCTTAACCTAACACCTCCCCCAATGGGGAGACTCCTAGACTCTGTCCCCGTAGAGACTCCTGATGAACCTATTATCCCTCAGGTTTCCTGAAAATAAGGAGGTGTTCCTACTCTTCCCTCTGACAGAGGGGCTGGTTTGGGGGCTGTCCCGGGACCTCAGATTGACTTAGTGCTCTGACCTTACTTTACTTTCCTTACTTTTTGGTTCCTAATTCCCAATTATCTTACTCCTTAATTTACTTTTTGTTTTACCTCCAATCTGGTGCCTATAATCATGTCAAAATCAATAATAATGAGCTCAAAAACATAAAGATATTAAAACCTGGTTCTTTAAAAATAAAATAGATTATCAACTAAATATAAAATAATTAATTATACACTTTGGTTGTACCTTTTCTGATATTCTTGAAGTTGCTTCTGGTGAATTTAGTCCTTCTCTGCCATAAGTCCAGTTGGTGGCTCAGCCATGCCAGGGAGTCGGGGCACCAATCTGAAAGAGAATGTGAAATATCCAGGTGACACATCTCCTCAGTCGTCTTGGTTCTCATTCGCTTCAGCCAGGCCGTGCCACCAGTCCGGCAGCTCAAGGGACCGGCGTGGTTGGAATCTTGCTGGGGCCTCCAAAAATGTTGTGGAAAAATCCCCAAAGCTCCAAAAATCAGATCAGCAAAAAACCAAGCAGTTCACTCAGAGAGAAGGAGAATTCAAAATTTATTACATGCGGTCCCAGACAGCTAGTGCTCTGAAGATCTGGGCAGGTTCTCAGTGGAAACATCTCTTTATATAGGAAAAGCTTTACATAAGCTGATTGGTCAGGTTGAACATAAACTGCTACATACAGCAGGAGTTGCTATGCTGATTTCAAGTAGTAACAGACAGAAGGGTGGAGTTGCTATGGGCAACCAGTAAACACAGATTGTTACAGGGAGGGAGAGCTGCTGGAGTACAAACAGTTACATTTATAAGTCGAGCAAAGTGCAAGGGAGCTCTTGCAGGAGCTCTTGCATGCAATAAGCCTATCTGCAGAAAGCAAGCATATTTGCAAAAGCAGAAAGCTGATTAGTTTTTAATGAAATTCCCCAAATTTCCTCATCATTCCCACACCCCTAAACACCATAGCCAGCCACATTCACCTCTTAAATAATTGGAAAAAATTAGACTTCATGAAAATTAAAGCATTCTGCTCCATAAAAGACACCCTTAACAAAATGAAAATGCACCCCCCCGCCCCGACCGGGAGTAAACATTCCCAATGCATATATCCAGGAAACAACTCATACCCAAAATACGTAAAGAATTCACTTAACTCAGTAATAAAATACAAATGAACCAAGATTTTAAAATGGGCAAAATATTTCAAAGGCACTTCACAACAGAAGATATTCAGATGGTAAATAAGAACATGAAACATACCCAACATAATCGGTAGGGAAATGGGAATTAAAAACAATGGGAAACCACTATGTACCCAGGAGAAAGGTTAAAGACTGACACTACCAAGTGTTGATGAGGATATGGAGCAACTGGCATTCTCATATACCGCAGGCAGGTGTATAAAAAGGCACAGCCACTTTGGTAAACTGTTTGATGTTTTCTTATAATGATAAAAATACATGTACTATATAACCAGGAAATTCCACTCTAAGTATTTACCCAAGAGAAATTAAAACATATGGCCACTCAAAGACTTATACATGAATGTTTATAGGAGTTTATACATAATAGCCCCCAAATGGAAACAACTCAAATGTCCATCAACTAGTAAATGGATAAACAAATTATGTCCAAACTGTGCAAAACTACTCATCAATAAAAGGAATAACCTACTGATATGTATAGGAAGGTAAATACATCTCAAATTCATTATGCTAATTCCATTTTTATAAATTTCAAGAGCAGACAGGACTAATCTATGGCCATCAGAATCAAATCAGTGGTTGTCTGCGACCAGGGGTGGAGATTTGACTGCAAAGTGGCCTCAGGGAACTTTCTGTGGTCATAGAAATGTTCAGTATCCTGATTAGGGGGCAATGATTCTATAACGTATACACCTGTCAAAACTCATTAAACTGTACATTTTATTATCTATTTTATTGTAAGGAAATTATACTTCCAAAAAAAAAAAAAGATTGGGGAAAAGCTTTTAAAGACCCTTGTTAAGTGGATAACACATAGTATCTCAGATCACCCAAGAGTAAGGTTGCCAGAATTAGCAATAAAAAATAGGGAGCCTAGTTAAATTTGAATTACATCTAATTGTTTATGCATATATACATAGATAGGAAAGAAAAGCACTGTGTGGGATATATACTAAAAATATTTGTTATTTAGAGGAAATAAATTTTAAGGGTCTAAATTACATTCTTCTTCATTTGATTATATCTTCCTGACCATTTGGTTTTCCTTAATAGTTCCTTATTTTATGGAATTTGCTTATAAAGTTCCTTGCACATACAATCTATTTTCATTTACTTTGTATCATAGTTTCTACAGTGGTCACATCTCACTTATTTAGTTATTTGTCAACAGGATTTTCATTAATGAGAAAACATGCTCAGCGTTAGTGTTATGAGCCAGTATACTGAACATGCACTAGAATAAAGTTAACAGCCCTGAAAATTGCTCTTCGAATTTAGTTAATTGAAGCAAATACCATATTTCATGGCATGACTGGCTTTTCCATTTTCCAGTATTATGCTGCATCTCTTGGTTAATAACTTTTAAAAATATTGTCCATTGACAAAAAAGAACATTGCTATCGATTTTTATTCCTTTCTTTTTCAACACTACACATAATGATTCCACCTGTCTCCATGCTGGAAGAGTAGTTAGTAATAACCTTATAAAAGAATCAAAATTCTTCATGAGATGAAATAAAAAAATGTAGTCATGACAAGTGCTGTAATAATCACTCACTTCATGTCAGAATTTTTTTCCTGTCCCTATTTAGAATAGCTTTAATACTTAAAGGATAAATTTTTCTTCATCAATCATTTCTTTGATGCATTCAACAGTTCCCTTAAGCAATGAAGTGTTTCAATAACAGTTTTCTCTCCTTTCAATTGGCATAATCCTATTCTAAAGAGATGATTGTAAATTGTGAACAAGAAATAAATAGGTTCCCCTTAATGGATTATTTTAAAAGTCAGTAAGAATTTTGGGGGCCTTTTCCTTAGAATTCAAGTATGATTTCAGTGCTTCAAATAAACTGAGGATTCTCTAGACTCCATTTGTTAAAGAGAGCTAATTGGTTTTTGAATGCAAGAGAAATGAACAATACTGAATGCCAACAAAATCACAAAAATCCCTTAATTGTTCAGTTTGAACAGTATAAATGCTGGTGGCATAAGAGAACAATTTCATGACAATTACTTCTCATAGTCAATAGGAAGGACATCAGATGCTGTTTGAGCAGCATTAATCAGAATACAAGCAGGACAGCCAATTGCTTCCATACAATTATTTATGCTTTACTTCAACTTTGAATAAACAATATCTGCACCTTTATGCAAACTTCTACCAACATTTATATTTGTATTATCTACACCACAAGCAGTACAATTTTCCTCATTAACTCATAACTCATTGAGAAAGTCTCTGCAAAAAAATTTGCTCGTTTCTGAAGTCTCATCTAGAAGGGATTTTATTCAAAATAGCATTACAAGTGAGCCTTTTCACAAGAAAAGTATTACACAAGCAAAAGGAACATTTTTCTGCATTGTAATTACTTGCATCCGTGATGATTCCATAAAAAGATGAGCCATTTAGAGCTTTGATAATCACTGCAACAGTAAATGGAGTTATTACATTTTAAATTATTGCAGTAATTTTGTCCTGGCATTTGGAATTTTGCTGGCAACTTTGGAATTAGAAAATATTTCTGGTAGCAGTACATTCAAAGAGTTATTTGAGCTGAAAGACTGATGACAATGCACAGTATGGGAGGCCATTATAATTTCTGCTGTGATTTTTTTTTATTTTCTTCATTTAAATTTCTCTTAATCAAAATTTTGTTATTTTATTGCTTTCTTGATACAAGTTGAAGAAATCACACATCTTTTATGCTTAGCTGTTAGTATATCCTGGATCATATCTGACTGTCCACCATTTTCAATATTGAATGAACACTTGCATACTGCACAAAGTGCTTCAAAAGAATTTTTCCTCATTTAATAAATGTTTACTGTTCAGAAAAATTTTCATGAAATTCACACTTGCATTTTGGCATTTTGGGGTTCAAATATATACAAGTCAAAAGGAGATAATACAATTTATTTTCAACAAGGGTGCCAAGGCAATTCAAAGAGAAAAGAATAGTCTGTTCAAGAAATGATGCTGAGACAACTGGATAGCCACATGCGAAAGAATGAAGTGGGACCCTTACCTCACACCAAATGCAAAAATTAACTCAAAATGAATCAAATACCTTACCTAAATATAAGAGCCAAAACTATTAAGCTCTTAGAAGAAAATGTAAAATGTAGTTGTAAATTCTCATGAACTTGTATTAGGCAATAGTTTCTTAAATATAACACTTAAAGTACAAACAACTAAAGAAAAAAATAGGTAGATGGAATATCATTGAAATTAAAAAATTTGCTTCAAAGGACACAAGAATCAGGAATATGAAAAGACAATCCACAGAATGGAGGAAAATTTTTGCAAATCATATATCTGATAAGGGACTTGTATCTATAATATGTAAAGAACACAACTTAATAATAAAAAGACAAGTAACCCAATAAAAATAAGCAAAAGATCTAAATAGACATTTCTCCAAACGACATACAAATAGCTAACAAGTACATGAAAATATCAACATCATTAGCTATCAGGGAAATACAAACCAAAACCATAGTGATGTTGGCAAGAACGTGTCAAATTATGCCAGTTGTACACCTGAAATTTACATAGTGTTATAAACCAATGTTGCTACAATAAACAATGAAATGTAAATAACATAAAAACATAACAAAATAAACATAAATAACAAAATAAACATAAATAACAAAAAATACAGTAAATAACAAACAAAACCATAAAAAATACAATGAGATACCACTCACACCCATTGGGATGGATATGATAAAAAAGATGGATAATCAGTATTGGCAAGGATGTGGAGAAACTAGAACTTGTATATGTTGCTAGGGGGAATTTAAATTGTGCAGCCATTTTAGAAAACAGTTTGGAGGTTCTTCAATAGGTTAAATACAGAAGATCTAGTAATGCCACTCCTAGGTTACATACCTAAGAGAATTGAAAACATGTCCCCACAAAAACTTATACATGAATGTTCATGGCAGCCTTATAGTAAAAAAGTGGAAAGAACCCAAATGTTCATCAACTGATAAATAAGAAAAATGTGCTATATCCACATATCCAATGGAGTATTATACAACCATAAAATTTTTGGTACATGCTACAACACTGATGAGATTTGCAAACATGCTAAATAAGTCAGTTACAAAGGACCACACATTGTATGATTCTGTCTATGTGAAATGTTCAGAATAGGCAAATTCATGGAGAGGGAAAGATTTGTAGTTGCCCAAGGCTGTGATGGTTGTGGAGAAATGGAGGAATGCCTGCTAAAAGGCTCAGGGTTTCTTGTAGTGATGATGAAAATGGTCTAAAACTGGTTGTGGTGGTGATAGTACCACTTTGTGAATATATCCATAGAACTGTAAAAAAAAAAAAATGGTAATAACAACCATCACGAGAATTAAAAAGGTTGCATTTGATAAATCTCATGGCTGCGACATTGCGTTTGTCACAAGTCCAAACTCATAACTAACGGTAAATGAGAACTGAATTTTATGAGTTGCAAACTTCGAACTTGCGCGGGGTGGAGTCGGGGATGTATTGAACTCAGACTCTGGGGCGGAAAAAAAAATGAATTTCTCCTCTGTCTGTAAAGGAGAGCTGTACTTTTAAGGCACGATCTCCCTAAACAAAGCCAGAACTGATCTTAAATGTTTTGAGAAGCTTAGCGTTCAGGGATTGGCAGTTTCCGAAGCTCGAGCGTCCAGCAATTGACAGACTCCCAGCTCTGTTAGAGGTCACTGTTGTAAGGTATCTGAAGACCCGCTTACTTTAAGAAGCCTGGTCCCTGGTGTGAGGCACTTGCTGATTGGCTGTTGTCTAAAGCGAGCAACTGGAGTGAGCCTGTCGCTGATTGGCTAATTTTCAGAGCCTGTGTACTGATGTGAACTTATCTCCAAATAATGGAGGTTGTTCGCGACTTTGAATTTGAGCCACAAGTATTTTCCTTTCTTAAATATGAGAAATAAGTACTTTTACTTTCTAGTCCTTTCTTTTGGTCTTCCTTCAGCTAAACCTGCTGGACAAATCGTAGGGATTGTCCAGATCTTTTATTCGTGTAAGTAGGTTTTCAGCTAGTGTTGCCGTTTAAGGGATTTAAAAGCCAATTACCTTGCCGGAAAAAATAGCTCTAACATTTCTGTAATTAATTGCAAAAAATAGTAATACAGTACATTTAAGGCATCCTGATAAAGTCAATACAAGACGCAGGAGGAAATCATTAATATATCCTGTATATACAGGACGCCTGACAATCTATCTACGAAGTAGTATCCTGGTTTACACAAGAAAAGACCGAGGCTCGGTGTGATTTAGTTTCTTGTATATGGCCCTGCAGTCGAAAATGGGTCGAGCCAAGAAAGGAACGGAAAAGGGTAGGGTTTCTCTGGGACACTATGAACCCGTAAGATCCATGCCCTACACACGGCTGGGCTCGCACTGCTAACCTGAAGTTGGCTAGAAATTGGCTGGATGTTTGAAGAGAGGGTCGCAGCGGGTGAGGACAGTAGCGAGATACCCTCTTGGGAGACCGCGGGAAGCAAGCAGAGAAGTAGGGAGGTGCTCAGGTCCCGGCGCTGACCCGGGACCGCAGCAGAAGCTTTCGCTGGAGGCCAAAGCCGGCTCGACGGGGCGGGGCCTCAAGGCGGGGCAGATGAAGGCCCCGCCCCCGGGCGCGCTCGTGTGCGTGGCTGGGGGCGTCGCAGAAAGTCCCACTCGATGATGCCGGGCCTGGGGACAGGACAGAGCGGTGGCGTAGTAGCTGTCGCCCTGGGGACCAGCGCTCCCAGCGTGTGGCTCCACCGCCTCGCAGTTTAAGGAGGGCGCGGCCCTGCGGCTGTGAGCCCAACGCCCCCAGCCCAGCTAATCGCGACGCCCCCATCCAAGCTCCTCGCACGCGTCCGAC